TGATGAAAAAGCTATGAATTGCAATAGGAATGACTATAGTGTATTTGCTAGAAAAATTGCCTCTCCTCTACATAGCTATTAGCCCTCTTATTTATATTGACCAACGACATTTAACTCCCAATTAAACACAATTATTCTCTCTTAAATGTGTCCGTTTTGGTCTTCGAGTTTTAATGCCCAACGTTTGAATTTGAATTGATTCCGATCTTCATGGGCTTCGCCTTTTGGCCCAAGTCATCCGACTTCGACTCCGAGTCATATCCCGAGGTGTGAACACTCCGGGCTCTCTTTATGGTGACGCCCACTTCGATTATACCCTGTAAACCATGGGCCTAATGGGCCTTATCCTCTGTGGGCCCTTATCCTGATTACATGGCAATCTTTGGTTGGTCCCGGTCTACTGGTGCGGGATCCGACACCAACATCATCTTTCATCTATATTACAAGTTGCGAAGATAATCTCAAAAATAATCTCCTTCATTGGTAAGTGTGAATGTGAATAATCGTATATTATTTTATATAGTGATTTAGATAAGATATATAAAACTACAGATTGTTTATTAGATAAATTTAGGAGCATATATAAGTTGTGTATTTGAAAAGATTTCGATTTTTGTCTCTAAATTGTATCAAAATATATAGCAGATTTGAAATTTTGTACTCGATCTAAAATTTTTGGATATACAAAGCATCAAAATTTTAAAATAATTTTGACTTCTTATTTTTGTATAATTATATTTTTAAGAAATTCAAATTTATTGTGATTGCAAAATTTGATGTCTTATGTAATTTGTTTGTCATTTTCTATGTTTTGCAGTTTTTTCAAGAGAACAAGACAAATCAAAATGAATCCAAACCTGTGCAGATTTTGCAGGTTGCAAAATAAACAATGCGTCAGCGACTGCATGTTTGCTCCACTGTTTCCTTCAAATGATTTACGCAAGTTTACTATCATGAACCTCGTCTTTGGACCCGAAACTTTGACATTCTTCCTCAAAGACCTTTCACACATGGACCGCAATACACTACCCTCAAAGTAGAGTGTGCGGGTAGTGTATTTGCGGTCCATGGGTGAAAGGTCTTTGAGAAAGAATGTCAAAGTTTCGGGTCGAAAGACGAGGTTCATGATGGTAAACATGCGCAAATCATTTGCAAGAAACAATGGAGGAAACATGCAGTCATTGACACATTGTTTATTTTGAAACTTGCAAACTTCCCATGGATATGGATTCATTTTGTCCTGCCTTGTTTTTCCCGAAAAAACTGCAAAACATATTTTAAAATAAAAATAAAATAAAAATAATAATAAAAAAACAAATTACATAGACCAAATTCATAATCACAATACAATTTTAATTTCTTTAAAAATATTATAATACACAAATAAGAAGTAGAGATTATGTTTTTAGGAATTACGATGCTTTGTATATCCAAAAATTTAAGATCGAGTATAAAATTTCTGATATGCTATGTGTTTTGATATAGTTTAGAAACAACAACAAAAAACAACTAAATCCTTTGAGATACACAACTCATATACGCTCCTAAATAATTCTAATAAACAATGTGTATTATTATCTAAATCATTGAATAAAACAAAAATATATGATTAATCGCACTTACCAATGAAGGAGATTATGTTTGAGAGTTTTCTTCGGAACTTGTAATATGGTGGATGAAAGATGAGGTGATACATTGATATATATAGAGAAAAATTAGGGTTTTTCTTTTCATTACATTTTTCCACAATTAAGCTAATATAAAAAATCTTGGACCACTCTAGTCCATGTAAAAAAGTTTTTATTTTTTTCTTTTTTGTTAAAATAGTCAATTTAATAAATTTTAAGATAGAATTTCATTAACTTTGACATTGTTTTTATTTATTAATAAATAAAATAATGTATCTATATATAACACAAGAATAGTAAAAAAAAAATTATGTTGACCATAAAAAGGGAAAAATTTAGTAATTAAACAAAAAAAGGTATGAAATCTAATAATTAGATACCTAGTCTAATATGAAAAAGTCTTGGACAACTCTAGTCAACGCTATTAATTTTTAAGATAGAAGTTCATGAACTGTCACATTTTATTTATTTATTATAATTACAATAATGCAAGCATATTTAACAGATGAATAGTAAAAAAACAAAATTCTATTGACCACAAAATAAAAGGTAAAGGGAATAGTAAGATACAAATTTCATAATCACAATACAATTTTAATTTCCTTAAGAATATAATTATACACATATAAGAAGTAGAGATTATTTTTTTTTTTTTAGGAATTTCGATTCTTTGTATATCCAAAAGTTTTAGATTGAGTACAAAATTTCAGATACGCTATAGATTTTGATACAATTTAGAGACAAAAATCTATATCTTTTCATATACACAAATCATATATGCTCCTAAATTTATCTAATAAACAATGCATATTTATATTTATCTTATCTAAATTATTGAATAAAACAAAAATATATGATTAATCGCACTTATCAATGAAGGAGATTATTTTGGAGAGTTTTCTTCAGAACTTCTAATATGGTGGATGAAATATGAGGCGATGCATTGATATATATATATATATATAAACTATGGTTTTTCTTTTCATTATACGAAAAACCACGACTATATATACATATCGATCCTCTTATGTAGACTTTTTTTTTTCTTTCAAAATATGAAAACAAAAACGAAGTCGTTTTTCAATATACAAACATAAACGAAGTCGTTTTGTTTTAATGAAAAGAAAAAGCCCTAGTTTTTCTCTCTATATATATAACAATGCATTCACCTCATCTTTCATCTATATTACAAGTTGTGAAGATAATCTCAATAATAATCTCTTTCATTGGTAAGTGCAAATAATCATATGTTTTTTTTATATATAGTGATTTAGATAATATATATATAACTACAGATTGTTTCTTAGATAAATTTAGGAGCATATATGAGTTGTGTTTCTAAAAAGATTTTAATTTTTGTCTCCAAATTGTATCAAAATATATAGCATATCTGAAATTTTGTACTCGATCTAAAATTTTTGGATATACAAAGCATCAAATAATTTTTTTCGACTTCTAATTGTGTATAATTAAATTTTTAAGAAATTCGATTTTATTGTGATTGCAAAATTTGATGTCTTATGTAATTTGTTTGTCATTTTCTATGTTTTGCAGTTTTTTTCAAGAAAACGAGGCCAATCAAAATGAATCCAAACCCATGCAGATTTTGCAGGTTACAAAATAAACAATGCGTCAACGACTGTATGTTTTCTCCACTGTTTCCTTCAAATGATTTACGCAAGTTTACTATCATGAACTTCGTCTTTGGACACAAAACTTTGACATTCTTCCTCAAAGACCTTTCACCTATGGACCGCAAATACACTACCCGCACACTCTACTTTGAGACAAAATCATGGCTTTTCGGACCATCCAAAGACCCCTCAGATTTCCTCAATGCGGTTATAAATTATGCCAACCAAACACCTGCAGAGTTGTCCAAAACTAAGAAATTGCTCGCATCTTACTCGAGACCAACAGTTGTATTGGCTCTTCCTGCACCAAGATTTCTTCGGTCGAAGACTAAATCATTTGATGGTCATCGTTGAAGACTTTTTTTCTAAAAGTGAATCGTTTAAACCAAACATGTTTTTAATGTAATTTCGAAAAATAAAATATGCTTTTAATTCTATGTATTTTGCTTTCTTTTTTCTTAATGAATTATCTTTCTTCTGAAATATTTATGGATTTTATCATTGCTTTAAGACATATTGCATTAATGCAAAAGTTCATAAACTTATTACATCCTGTTTAATTTCTTTAAAAAAATACTATCTACATATTATTAAAATACATTTTATATATTATGTATTATATATACGTAATTTAGTGTAATTGTCAATTTTTATATGGGTTTATGAATATTTTTTAAAACACATCCACATGTTTACACACATAAATTTAGCATAAGATCTCTTGTGAAGGTTTATGAATATACACATTACTTAATTTCATGAAAAATAAACTTATCTATATCCACGTTTTGAATATACTTAATTTCAGAGAAGAAAAAAAAACTTACCATTCGCTTTTATGGTCAACGGAAAATAGAAAAATTACTATTCATGTGTTAAATACTTCCATTAGTGTAATTATTAATAAAATGTGAAAATTCATGAAATTCTATCTTAACTTTATTAGCATTGACTAGGATGATCAAAAGTATACTATTCAATTTTTTTCCTTTTTTAATTGTCAACATGAAATTAAAAATTATACGATTCAAAATATATTTACATAAATGTAATATAAATAAAATGTGAAAGTTCATGAAATTCTATCTTCAACTTTATTAGCATTGACTAGAGTGGCCAAAAACTTTTATATATTAGATAAATGAAGCATAAATAGAAGCATTACGGCATTACCACTGAAACTTATCTGACTGAGAGAAACTGGAGAGATAAAGTAAACTAGGTTTTTTTATAAGACGTTGTTTTTATTACATCTCAAAATAACAAAAAATAGTACACTAAAAACTAAAGTCATGATATTTAAGTGTTAGAAGCGTAAGTATTGTGAAAAAGAAAAATAAGAATATTTTCATGTAGAAATGTTTTAATCACACTATGACTTTTTAAAATAGTCGTTAATGTAATTTTAAAAAAAATGTTTTTCTCAAAAAAAAATATATATATATATATATATATATTTATAAATGGAACACAACATAAATATTCGTCAAATCTTTTTTTTTTGTCAACTTATTCGTCAAATCTTCTAAAATATAATATACAGTATTAAACCCACGCAACAATTTTCTATTAATTAAAGTTTTACAATAAAAAAATATTGTCTAGTTTATGAGATTTTTATTTGGATTAGCAATTTAGCAATAGAGTCGGTTCATTCAAAGCGCCGGCTTAGGTTTTTAGATACTGTATATAGTAAAGTCTTAATATAGAAGAATGTTGAAATATTCAAACGTGAAGCAAAAGCAGAAGCGACACTATCGCCGCTCTCACTAACTATTGATTCATCGAAGAAGCTCTCTCTCTCGTTGTCGCAGAATCTCTTCTTCTCCGTTCTAGAATAATGGGGAATGCTCTGGTCAAAAAAGAACCACCGCCTCCGGTGGTTCTTGTTCCTCCGCTCTTCGATTTCCCTCCTCTCTCCGCCCGTACTAGGTTACTATATCTCCTCTTCTTCTCCGATCTCTCCGATTTTTGTATTAATCGCTGTTTCTAATCAATAGATCGATTCTGGCTACATAGATTCGATTTTGAGAAATTGTTGTTGTTGAGATGATGCAGGATGTTGGAATCGTCATATAATTTGTTGTTTGGGAAGCTTGCATTGAAATGTCTATTTGAGGATTACTTTGAAGAAGCAAATAATTTCTCGGCGAAGTTTTTGTTGAAGCCTATTGATGATCCTCATGTGGACTTGGTTGCATCTGTATCCATTTTGAAATCTCTTTTGTGTTTTTAGTTTTCTGTATAGTGATTGATTCGAGAAGTTGTCTTGTGGATGAATTGGGGATAGTAGAAAATCAGAATTTTCCTTAATAATCGAAGGTTCGGGGCGCAGTAGATGGTAGAGCGGAAGGAGATTTTGTCGGTAACGCGGAGTTTCGCTGGCAAAGGTATGGATTTTAGTTATTATCTGAAAGATTACTAGTAGTTGTTGGAAAAATAGAATAGTGATCAGTTTGTTTTTCTTTATTGTGCAGTGATGTTGATGATCCTCATACTTTTGTGGACCTCTCTGTGTCAACATCGAATCTGTAATCTCCGTGATACTTTTGTTATATTCTTGGAGCGTATGTTCATTACAGTAGTTTAATGTTTTGAAATTGTTTATTTTGTTTGTCATCATTAAGGATTCTTCAAATGAGGTCTTCTGCTTACTACCCTAAATATGGGATTGGGGCATTTGCAGTCTACCCTTTGATTTCAAAAAAGACGTAAGTCATGTGTATATGCTGTCGTTTTACTTAGAATAGATAGATGTTTTGCTACAATGTAAGATTGTAAAGATGAATATATGTTGTCTCTATAGTGGAAACTTATCTGAGGAGTATAGAATCATGGGGTTGAGATATGGCTCAACGAATTTGTCTCTCGGAGCTACTGTCACGCCTTTTACTGGTAAGCACATTCCAGTTCCGCTGCGAATTCCCGTTGTTTTCTTTTGGAGACAATGCTGACACTTTAATTCTTCAATTTAGCGAATAACGAATTGCCAAAACATGCATGGCTTGTAAGCAAGATGGGAAGGTTTACAGTAGGAGTGCAGTATGAGCCGCTACGTGAGTCAGTTTACATTGTTTTATTCCTATTGAACAGATTTTACTCATCACACATGGAAGCTATTATCTATACATTATGTGATTGAAAGAAAGCGTCATCGAGAATTGTTATTGGATTTTGTTTTAGATGGAAGCGAAGATTTGGCAAAGTACACAGACCTAAGAAACTGGAGTTGTGCTGCTGGCTATGGAGTAGGGTCACAAAGCCCCTTGAGTCCTTCGTTTAACATTGGCATTGAACTAGCAAGAAGCTCTCAGGTGATCCTTTTGAAATCCGTATAGATGAAAACATGGCTGTTTTGCTATCTATATAGTATATGCACAAGTCTTAAGCCCAAACAGTTCCTCAACTCTCATTGAACGTGCCTAACTACCGTTTATTTATCTAATGGCATATCATCCATTTTGTAGCATTCTTAGTCTTGCTGATTATGTTATCCTTCTTGTACAGTTTATCGCTACGTTCTACCAACACATAGTGGTACAAAGACGGGTATGACTCTTTCAAACTAGTCATTTCTCTGTTCTGCATCTATTACTAGTCTTCAGTATATAAAGTTTTGCACAACTTTTGGCTCAATTGAAATGGATTTGATGGAACAGGTGAAAAATCCTTTTGAAGAAAACCAAGTAGTTGGAATCACAAACTACATTGATTTAGGTTTTGAGCTACAATCGAGGTAATGAACATCTAGAAGTACAAAAAAAAACATTGTAGCTAATGTTTGTCTATACGGAAACATAGCTTTATTTGTCGTCTTAATATTGAAGGGTTGATGACACCAAGACACCACACAATGCCCCAGATTCTTTATTGCAGATGGCTGCGTCTTGGCAGGCCAATAAGAACTTCTTGCTGAAGGTATAGAACATATAGACCTTTCCGAGTTACCCAAGAAGAAAAGCTTTATAAAAGAAACCATTTATCTCAATTTTTGCTCAGTATATAACATTTTCAATTTTTGCAGGGTAAAGTCGGAGCTCATAGCTCAACATTGTCATTAGCATTCAAGTCGTGGTGGAAACCGTCTTTCGCATTCAATATTTCAGGTATACTTTGATAAATAATCTGAGATTCGTGATCTGCGTTCAGCAAAATCCAGATGAAGATAGGTTGTTGGTATTTGAACATGTTGGGCTATTTTTTTATGCAGCAACAACTAATCATCGGACTGGAAATGTCGAATGTGGGTTTGGTCTTCGTGTTGATAACATAAGAGAAGCCAGGTTAGTCCATTTGTGACAAGTTCAAAATTAATCAATCCTCTTTAGCTTCATGATCTTCACGTTGTTTTATTTTGTGACATTGCAGTTACCAAAGAGCTGATCCAAACTTTGTAATGCTAACACCGAACAAAGAACATTTAGCTGAAGGGATTGTGTGGAAAATGGGGAAGAGGCCAATGTATCAGTCTGATGTGGACGCAGAGAATTTCAGTGAGCTGCCAAAAGAACTTAGACCGTCCCAGAAGATTCTCTAAACTAAATGTTTATTTTTTTGCACTTTTATCTAGTAGATTTAGATCTCTACCAAGTCAAGTTTTAATAAGTTCGACGAAAGAAGATATATTTAGTAATAACCATTTTTACTCATATGGAGTACAAGTGTTTTGTGTTCAAATTAGGAGTAAATTATCTGGGTTTTATACTTTTTAAGTTTGGTGTTTTGGGCTTTTGATTTTTCAAAATTCTTAAAAGAAGCGAAATCATGATTTGTTTTTGGACTTTTTGAGGAGGCCACGGAAAATGACCAACATAAAGCAACTTGCATCATTACCAAGTCAATTGTTTTTATACTGTTTTGGATATGCAGCTTCAGGAGTTTAATGACCACTTTAACGAGGTAAACTCTAAATTACTCATATGCACAGCCGTTTTAAGTCCTGTTGATTCATTCCGTGTGTTTGACAAAGAGAAACTGTTGAGATTGGCTGAATTTTATCTAGAAGATTTTAGTTCTGTGTAGTGCATATCTCTAAAGCATCAACTTGACATTTATATTGATAATGTACAAGAAGATGAGAGGTTTAGTGTGTTGAGAAATCTTGGAGATCTAGCACGGATGATGGTGGAAACTAAGAAGTATCTTTCACATCCTTTGGTTTATAGACTTTTGAAGCTGGCTTTGATTTTACGTGTTGCTACTGCAACCGTCGAGACATGTTTTTTCGGGATGAAGATTGTGAAAACTGCACTACGGAATCACATTGGTGATCAGTTTTTAAGTGACTGTCTAGTTTGTTTTATCGAGAGAGAATTATTCGAAAATGTAATAAATGAAACAATGATAAAAAAAAGTTTCAAGATATGAGTAAAGGTAGAATAGAGTTGTAATTTTTTTTGACGTCTAGATTTATTATTTATTGTAAATTATGAGAACTGTTACATAGACGATTCTACAACGGACAATTCCTTCCGACCCTTATTAGATTCACGACAGACGACACTTCCTTCTCCATGCTCTTGACGGACACCTTCAATGATCCACGACCTGACGACACTTCTTTCTCTACGTAGAATCCTGGCGAACGGCTATAATTGTACTTCGCTGGAGATCTCCTGCACACTTGCCTCCTTTAATCTGCAAATTTATTAATAAATCATAATATCTGGGACTCGAACCCCAGACCTCTTGGTGTAGAAGCATTAATTAACCCTTGGTCAACCAATGGGCTAAGGGGACTTCCACCATTAATTTTTTTTTTATAGTTTATAAACTTTTTTCAATTTTTTAATCCCGGTTAAAAATAATCCTGACTCCGCCACTGATTTCCGCTGTAGGAAGGTTGTAGCAAAAACCGGTTTACTTCGGTTCAACTCGGTTATTTTCGGTTGCGTATTCAAAACTATAGCGAAACAATGGCTGGAAAGCCACTTTTCGGGAAATAAAATGCTGGAATGCCACCTTCGTATTTTCATTTTCTTTTACAATTTTTTTATAAGTCAAAAGCTAAGGAAATGTCCAAAAGCCCTTTCAAAAGGTTAACAATTACAAAACCCAACATGAAATTCACTATCTCAACAACCAAACACTCTCAATCGTTCTCCTCCTCTTCTTCCAGATCCTGTTGCTTTCTTTTGCTAATCGTTTGTTTCCAAAATCAACAAAAAAAAAAAATGGCGAGACTTTTCGTCTCTATCCCTATGTAACCCACACAAATAAGCTTCTATGCGTCTTCTTCTCAGCCACTATTGTCGTGGCCGGTGAACAATTTCTCCGATGGTGTAGCCGGAGGATTATTTCTTAGACAGAGAATCAGAGATTGTTCCGTGGTGAAGCGAGCAGGGCCTAGTACGAGCATCTACTTGCTCGCGTTCGCAAATTCCTGCTACTTTTGTCGCCGCCACTGTCTTCACTTCAATCAAAATCGCTGATAAACTCGACGAAGATTTCCTTGAGGATGTAAGATCACCGTTTCCAAAAACAATATAATTCCTTCAATCTTTGTCATATCTAATTCAGATTCGAATTTCGTCTAGTTGTTTAGTGTTAACATTGCTTTAGGTCTAGTTTGGCTCAATGCTAGTTATAGGATTTGAGGTACATAGAAGGTAATTTTAATTTCTAGAACAAGAAACGTTCGAAGAATTTGGGGAAAACAATGAACAAATGAATTATTAGCACTAACTTTTGAATTTGGGTTGACTTGGTTCAGTTTGGTTAAAGTTGTTGAATTTATGGCATCCTTAGAAAGTAAGAGAAAATCACATCCTCTTAGAGTCCATTTTGCATTCTAGTAGAATTGGATTTCTTTGATAAATCACATACAATGTTCGGCCTAAAGTGTTGCTGAGCAGAGTCTCTAACACATGGCAAAGTAAGGAACTTATTCTGATCCCTGTAAAATCTTGTGTCCGTAAGGGGGAATGGATCGAAACATGGTTTTTGTATCTAGCCTGATAATCATGTATCATCCATACATGCTGCTAATGCTGGTAATATCACTTTATACCATATGTGTTAACATCTTTTACACTTGTTTGTTTCATTTGTTTGCTATAAGCTTTGTTTGTTGCTTTTGTTTAGGTGTTGTAAATGCTTTAAACTTGATTAAGGATATCAAAGAAAAATAATCTAGGGAAATGATTCATAGGTTCTGATTTGTTTAGAAAGTATAAAACTTTTTAGCGTGAATCTGTTGGTTATGAAGTTTTGATTTCTGACATGAGGAAGTAGATTACATTAGTTTATGGATGGGATTTGATCCGTGTGAAAATCTCTTAGGCACTCAGTAGGAATCAAGAAGTCAGGACTAAGTCCCATTCATGCTTGTCTTAAGTCAACAATGGTTTCAGTTTTTCCCTTAGTCTAGGCTTCTTGTTTCATTCCTTCATCTGCTTGAGTTGGCTGGTTTTGGCTTTGCAGTGTTGCTCTATCAAAGATAGAGAAGAAGTGGAAGGAAGAGCTTGATCAAGAACTGTAAAGAAAGCGAACAAGTCAAGTCTTTTTTGTGAAAATCATGATTGTACACTGCATGTACTTGTGGTCTTCACGATTCTAGATCAATAATCAACTCGTTGACTTGTAGTATATGTTGTTGCAGAGATCATGCGCCAAGCAGGTTTGGTATCATCCCCAAGAGACCGAGGCTTGAGCCGACCGAGAGAGGTCGAGATTTACATCGCCAAGATTGCACATGACTTATGTTTTTGTATTTCATTTCTGTATTTTGTTGTGTTGTGGATCTTAAACATATGACTTCATGTTTTTGTAAACAAAAAAAAAATATTTAGATTATATTTATGTTCAATTGCTTTTGTAGGTACAACTGGTCTATTTAGGTACAACTACGTGTATGAGTTACACATAAGAAAGTACAATTAGATCACTTAAGTACAACTGAAACAATTAAAATAACCTTTTTAAAAAATAAAAAATAATATTATTTGATATTAAAATAAATTTAAACGAAGTATAAAAAATTAAAAAAATAAAAATTAAATATAACCCACGTAAGCATGATTTTTGGCGGCAGGATATTAATTTAAAATCATCACACGTGCTGTAAAGTGGGCCAAAGACAGCGGGATATTCATAAAAAATTGTTTGATATAAACGTAGTTGTACCTAGTTGTACAGTTGTACTCACATATTCATAGTTGGACTTTGGCGATTTTTGCGTATTTTCAGTTGGACTTTAATAAAAATTAGTAATTTTAAGTTGGACACATGTTGTTACACTATTAATTATCATTTAAGAAGTTTTCATAATACAATTTGTACGAAATCATAATTTTCACCTATTTTGCATCAAAAGAGGTGATCACCTACAAAGTGTTCCTTGTACTATAAGGAGTGTTTCATATTAAAACAATAATATGCACTAGGAAAATGATAAATTCAAGTTTTATTTATTTAAAATTGTTTTTTTTTAGTTCAACATGTTTTTGGAATCCTTGTTAACTCTAATTTACCGTTTTTCATATTTGTTGAATACACATATAAATACATTTATGGTCTTAGTTGTACCTTCTCAAAACCTAATTATACCCAGTTGAACATAGTTGTACGAATACGACAAGTACATATACTACTGATACATACATGGTTATAGTTATAGTTTTAGATGTACCCAGTATATTTATGGTCTTAGTTGTACTAGTCGGTCCTAGTTGTACTAGCCGGTCCTAGTTTTACCAGTCGAATCTAGTTGTACCCAGTCGAACATGGTTGTACGACAAATACAAATGATTTTTAGTCATCAAATATTCTTTTAATTAATATCATTTATCTTCCACAGGGCAATGAATTTGGTTCTATTAATCACTGTTAGTGTTGCACAATAGAACGATAAACTAAAGACACCTTGAGAATCCTTAACCACAGAAAAAACTTCTATATAAATGTGCGAACATGAAGTCTACTTAAATTATTTTCTTAATTTTAGAAGGGAAAGCAAGAGAGCATGTCAAACAACCCTAGCACTAGCAGAACCTAAATCTACTTGCATAAGAACTCAAAAAAGTCATCAAAAACACCGTCATCAGACGACGAGAGTGGAGCTATGGCAGCCAAAACCTTTGTCTTTTCTTCCAACAACTGAGCTTCGAGGTCTGAACACTTTCGCTTCACTTTCTCCAAATGAGCTTCGAGCCTTGAACACTTCAGCTTCAAATCCTTCAACTCTTCCTCAATTTCTTTTCTCCCGAGTCTCACCAGCTTCCTCTTTCTTTTTATTTTTTGTCACTTGATCAAGTTTCTTCTTCAACCAATCTAACTTAAATCCATAATCAGTCAGGGATTCCAGCCCAACATAGTAGCAAATCAGATTTTGCCTTACACACATTACAATGATGGCAAGAGACAATTACAAGCAATGACTTACAGATTGAATTCATTACAAGACTAAATTATGAATTTTGAGGTAGAATTTGCCTTAAGAATTCATGATTACGAAATTGACAGTTCTCGTTCCCAATATCGAATCCCACCACACTCATCTAAACGTATTAACAAGAGATCTTAGATATAAAGTTATAAACGCATAATAAAATTCTTCCTCTTCGAAGAGAAATCAAATCAAACGAGAAGAAGGACAAAAGATGAAGAAGACTATACAATTAACAGAAACTTCAAATCGTTGATGCAGAACCTCTAATAACTGAGAGAGCGTTGTCCTCGTTGGAGCGGTGGTGGTTGTTGTTGATATCCATGGCGGAAGATTGAGAAACTAAGAAATAATCTCTTAGTTTCATCAATGGCAGAGGAGAGGAGAACAAACCAATTGCAAGGACGAGCCGGAGACGGTGGGCGGCGAGATCGGCGAGGTGAGCTCTGGTTTGTTGGGAGGAGAGAATCGGAGGTGAGGATGCGAGCAAATTTTTTTTTGCTTTTTTTTTTTTTTTTTTTTTTAATTTCTAATAGTTAATTAAATAAAAATATTCATTAAGGACAAAATGGAAATAACACATACTAGAATGGCATACAGACTCCAAAATGGCAGGCCAGATTAATATTTCCGGTTCAGTGGCAAACAAGCCTCTGTCTCAACTATAGCTTCGTCTTTATTATCAAAGGTTAATATTTTTTTAACAAAAAAAAAAATGAAATAAAACAGAGACCACAATCCCATTGTCCATGACCACCACCAGAAGAAGAAGAAGAAACTAATGGCGACGACGACGAGTTGTTCGCTTCTCCTTTCTTCTACTCTCTTCCTTCACTCTCCTCCTTCTTCTCATCTCTCCTTCTTCAATCTATCTTCTTCACGATCCTCTCCAATTTCTCTCTACCCAATCCGATCCAAACGCTATTTCCGAATTCTCTCGAAGCTTCCACTAAACGACAACAACAACGATAATGATACTCTTCTTCTTCCTCCGTTCTCCGCCGTTAAACCTTTCCTCCTCCTCTGTACCTCCGTCGCGTTATCGTTTTCTTTATTCGCCGCTTCTCCTTCTTCGGCGTTTGTAGTCAGTACTCCGAGGAAACTTCAAACTGATGAACTCGCCACTGTTCGTTTGTTTCAAGAGAATACTCCTTCCGTTGTTTACATCACTAATCTCGCCGTCAGGTATCAATTTTACCGATCTGAATTGCGATGTTTGTGGATGAATCATTTCGATCAATTTCACTGGATTTGAGGATTGGTCTAATGTTGTTTGAATTAGGCAGGACGCGTTTACATTGGATGTTCTTGAGGTACCACAAGGCTCTGGTTCAGGATTTGTGTGGGATAAGCAAGGTCACATTGTTACCAATTATCATGTTATTCGTGGTGCTTCTGATCTCAGGTTCAATTTTGTTGACACTATGAGAATCTTATTGATTTTGGATTCCTTTTGATGTTTGTGAATGATGAGGAGGTTGTGTGATCTATATAATAGGGTGACTCTTGCTGATCAAACAACATTTGATGCAAAAGTTGTTGGATTTGACCAAGATAAGGATGTTGCGGTTCTTCGTATTGATGCACCGAAAAACAAGTTAAGACCTATACCGGTTGGAGTCTCTGCGGATCTTCTTGTTGGCCAGAAAGTCTTTGCCATTGGCAATCCTGTGAGTGTATATCCTTAAAGTGATCATAGATTAGAGCTCTGCTTTGTGGTTTCTATTGCTAGCTTGGTCGATACTTATGTTTCCTGTACACACGCACTAAAGCATAAACCTTTTTGTGCAGTTTGGACTTGATCATACTCTTACAACTGGTGTTATTAGGTATGTTAAATTGTCTTTGTCTTATCTTTTTTAAGATGCATTTTCCTCAAATTGGATGTGTTCTTCCGATAATCATGCTGGAATTAGTTAACTCGCAAACGAAACGGTCAAAAAAGATGATTGGTACATGAGGATACATATATTTTCTCTTGCCCCTCTTCATGCCTTTTCTCTCCTTAAAATGTAGCATGTTTGTGTATTATGATTTGTACAGTGGTTTGCGAAGAGAAATTAGTTCAGCTGCAACTGGTCGTCCAATTCAAGATGTGATACAGACAGATGCTGCTATTAACCCTGGTAACAGCGGAGGTCCTCTTCTAGATAGCTCAGGAACGCTAATTGGTATAAACACAGCCATTTATTCTCCTTCTGGTGCATCTTCTGGAGTGGGCTTTTCGATCCCAGTTGACACCGTAAGTTCTCTCTTCTGTTTTTTTTTTTTCCCATTGCAAACACAATCAGAGAGAGAGTCTTTCTCTATCCTTGAATCCACTAATGGGAGAGTAAAGTTGTTTCGAGCTCTGTTTCTCTCATGGTCAGGTTGGTGGTATCGTTGATCAGTTGGTGAGATTTGGTAAAGTCACAAGACCAATCTTAGGTATCAAATTCGCGCCGGACCAATCTGTTGAACAATTGGGAGTGAGTGGCGTGCTCGTCTTGGATGCTCCTCCAAGTGGTCCAGCCGGGAAAGCCGTAAGCTCTTCTTGTTTCCAAGTTTCCATATAACAGATATTTCTCCATGTTCCACTATGCGGTATTTACATTAAAATGTGTGTAATGATGGTGTTGATTGTTGTTCCACAGGGACTTCAGTCAACAAAACGTGATGGTTATGGGAGACTAATACTAGGAGACATAATCACGTCAGTGAACGGTACAAAAGTCTCTAACGGGAGTGATCTGTACCGGATTCTCGATCAATGCAAAGTCGGCGATGAGGTAAAATAGCGAGTCCAAAATCTGCATTTTCGTCAACTAGTTTCTGCATCTGAGAGAATGACATTTTGATGATGTTGATTAGGTGACCGTAGAGGTTCTAAGAGGCGATCACAAGGAGAAAATCTCTGTAACTCTCGAACCAAAGCCGGACGAGTCTTAGAAACGTCGTTGAAAGAAGTAAATATATAACGTGTAGAAAAAAAAAAGTCCGGTGGATTATTTCTGTATATCAATTGTTCGGAAAATAGATCGTCCAATTGTGTACATAAAAATATGTTTATATTGCAAACCTGCATAGGGTAACCGGAAATAGCCAAAATTGCAATGTCTTGAACCACCAAAAGGAAATTGCATGTAAAAAATCTCAGAAAACTGTAGAATAAAATCTTTATCGCCACAACCACGACCACGACTGTTAGAAACTTTTTTTTAAAATTCTTATAATTAATAAACCTTTATCGCCCTAACCATTAGTTAAAAATTTGAGTTTCAAAATTTTAAAGTTTAATTTTTGACTTATTGCCGCAAGAGTATCGTTTTGATATACTTCTTCATGATATACCGTTGACCAATTAGATATTAGCGATGGTTGTGGTAGCGGTGGTCATGGCAGCAACATGTGACGATGGTTTTCTTGCGACATTAAGGAGGGGTTATTGGTTCATGGATTTATAAGGAATTAGAAATCCAAACAAAAATCACTTGTTATTCAATCATTGATTTTAAAATCCTAATTAAAATCATGTGTTATTGGTTATATGATTTATAAATACTAGTTAAATTCCTATGTTATTCGTTTAGTCATTTATTTTTGGATTTCATAATCCAAATTATGTTTTAAATGGATTTGAATGGAATTGAAAGAGAAAAATAGAAGGATTCAAATCCATGGGTAAACACATGTTATTTCAAAATCCATATATCTTGATTTCATAATTAATAGAGATTTTCAAATCCTATATAGATTTACAAATTAATAAACCAATAACACCCCCTAAGAATAACGGTGGCGATAGTTAAGGTTATTTATACAATAGTTGTGTATATATAATTGAAGCAAAACTGACTTGGGAAAACAGGAAGCGTGTATATGGTTATGTCCAGCGCCGGCTCAACATTTTTACGCGGCCTAGAGAAAAAAAAAATTTTGAGTCTTAAATTTTTTTTTTTTGAAGTGGTGTTTCGCTTAAAAAAATTTTGTATGATATTTTATTAAAAATTAATTATTAGAACTAAAAATAATAATAAAAAAATTTATGGGCAGTGTTAAAAAAAAAAAAAAAAAAAAAAAAAAAAAAAAAAAAAAATTTATGGGCCCTTTTAAATTTTATTTTTTATGTTGTAATTTAAATTTTTAATATTTTTATTTAAATATTTTAAAAATGGATCCCTTAATTATTAAAACACGAGATTGGGCCCCTGGCCGCCGCCCGCCCCTATCTGAGCCGGCACTGGTTATGTCTTGAGTTCCTGTGTTCGATCGTTAATTTATAGTCTTATACGTAAGGTTTAATTTATTTGTTCAAATTGTTAAGTCATTTTACGGTCTCTATTTCACATTATGTTAGTTTTTAAAAATATCCAAAACGACGTAGTTTTGATAACTTCTATACGGTTTCATAATCTATATACGGATGATGGTGGACGGTGAGATCATTTTTTTTTTGAATGCGTGCTCTCGTTGAGAGATCATTTACTCGAGCTAAGTTGTGACTTGGATGGTTGTGTTGTAGGTGAAAGGTAGCTTTGAAAAAATAGAAGAAGTTTGAGGTTATGTTTGCAGGTTTCCCTTTAAACAAACTCATAACAATTTATGTATATTTTTTTTGGGTGCAAATCTATAATTTATGTAGTTTTTGAACATCAAATATTACCCACGTGATAAGTGAAAACGAACCGAATCAGTGATGATCAGGGAGGGTCCCTACGTGGAATTTAATATTTGTGTCATCCTTTTTAAGCAACACCAACAAGACACTGACATGGGTTGGTATTTATAAATTTGCAACGTAAATTATGTAATAAGATTCTATCTTCTATGGTTGAGAGTAGACTGTATCTAAACCAAACCGGTTTAATAGGTATATATTTTTTTTGTCTTTGTCTTTGAATTTGTGGGGTCATAAATCACGGATTTCTTCATTTGGATATGTATTCATAGTAATGTATATAAACTACTTTCGAGCAGACTTTGGTAATGATTATGATCACCTTCTCTGCTTTTGGAGTAAATTTCTAATTTAAGATATGTACGTGTATCTAGATATATACGACGACATGTCGTTAGCCAAATGCTTCGTTAGAGGATAGCTTGTTGAGAACTTGACTATGCCAATCATATATGTTTGTTTGGCTTTATCTAGCCCCAAATTAACAACTTGAAATTAAAGAAACAAGAGAACATTATGTAAAAACTACAGTATTTATAAGTAAAAAAAGAAATGATGATAATAGCTACTTTTATATAAATAATTTTACATTAAATTTGTAGAAATACTTGTTTATAAATTCTTGATTTAGTATATAAGGGTTTTGAATTAAAAAAATAAAGTATACATATTTTTCTTCAATTTTTTTGGGCAACTAAATAGTATACATATTAATAAGGGTATTATGTAAAAGCTAGCTCGAAAACCAAAGTAGAAGAGAGTAGTAGGAAGGTGGTAACTCGTAACTAGGGAGACAAGTGTAGAGCAGAGCTTCTATTCCTCCAATTATTTAGTTAAACAATTGTGTGACATATTCCTTACCTATTCATCAGCATTCACTATTTTATTCTCTACCACTTAACTTGTTAGTTGAGACTCTAGGTTATAAACTATAAAACATATACTCTTACTTTGTACATAGACTTTTTTTGATGAGTACATAAATTTAACCTTTCATCAAAATATATATGTCTTTTGTATATTCAATGTATGCAAATATATATAATAAATATACATATGCTTGTATATTCAATCTATATATAACTTAAAATGTTATAAATTTTAGGTCCGTAATTTGAGAAACAAGAGATACGAAAGGTTAACTTGTTAGTTGGGACTAGGTTAGAAAGTATACAACATATACTCATATTTTTTACATAGATCTTTTTGAGTAATAAATTAAACTTTCATAAAATATATTCGCTTGTATATTCAATGTATATATAACGAAAAAATTATACTACATTTTAGGTCCATAATTTTTCCACCCCGAAAACAAGAGGAGATTAATTTAGTTATCTTATCTATTATATGTTCAAACTTGTGGCTTTGAAAATTCTCATTTTGAGTGACCAATCACAATTAGTATAGTATATATATATATATAAGTTAGTACAATATAGTCTGGTTCCAAGAAAAAAAAAAGTTAGTACAATATAGTAATGATTATAATGTAATTGTAGTGTACTAACAAACTGGTCAGGTTAACGTGAAGTGAAATAAATTACAAATCGGATAAATCACACAATATAACATTTCGCAACAATCTGCTTCATATGTAGTAGATATTTTGTTGTAAAATTCCATTTCACAAATATATTGTTTATATATTGCCAGAAAAGAAAAATTAAGCTATTTTCCCCATAGATATATAATTTAACCAACTGCCAAATTTTAGCTTTTAATTAAATAAGGTACGTAATGTAGGGTAACAGAGGATAATGCTATCGCTATGTATACATTATTAGGTACATATTATGCTTTATAGCCATGATTACACAAAGATACGTATTGATGTGAGTGTATATATATAAGCACGTGTCATTGAAACCCATTATAAGTTCACTACTCACAATCTCTTTCTCTCTTTCACAAACACACAAAAACAATCAGAGAATAAAAGAGAATGAGAATAAGGAGAACAGAGGAAAAAGAGAATCAAGAATACAAGAAAGGTTTATGGACTGTTGAAGAAGACAACATCCTTATGGACTATGTTCTTAATCATGGTACTGGCCAATGGAACCGCATCGTCAGAAAAACTGGTACTCTTTCTCTCTTTTAGTCTCTAGCTAGTTCATATATAAATAATATCTCAGTTTGATTAATTTGGTGTAACTTTTGATTCGTTGATAGGGCTAAAGAGATGTGGGAAAAGTTGTAGACTGAGATGGATGAATTATTTGAGCCCTAATGTGAATAAAGGCAATTTCACTGAACAAGAAGAAGACCTCATTATTCGTCTCCACAAGCTCCTCGGCAATAGGTACATACACTTATGTTACTACTATATTATATACCATGTCTTTGTATTAAATCGTTATATTACTTTAAATGTTTAAAGTATGGGGCAGAAAATACACAAAAATGGTTGTTTTTTGGTCAAATATTTGAATTGTTGTTTTAAACAAAGATATGGCCGATTAAGATTTTTTCAATCTAATTGAAGGATTTTCTTATTTGCAAATGTAAAAATATATAGAGTTTCACAAGAAAAGTTTGTCTTCTCTTTAATTAAACTCAACTTTAACATTGGATTATTTCATTATTAAAATGTGTTTTCTCCATAAAAAATCTTTAAAAGTATCTTTTGAACTTAAATATGTTCGAACATTTCTTTTTTTTGTGACATCATTTCAAGTGGATATATTTAATGAAACATAGACACTTCTTTCATAATTAAGTGTATCGTGCAAGCAGTCACTTTTCAAAATTCATTATAGAGAATTAGAGATGGAAACGTTTTCCACAATTCAAAAAATGTAAAACCCTCTCTCTATGTGTATAGGTTTATGCATACATTTTATCAATCATATGTCACCAAAAAAATAATAATCATAAACATTTACTTATATAAGTTATAATTTATGTTATAAAAATATGAATTTATTTTATAATATCCTATAATATTTCTTCTACAAATTCAGATGGTCTTTAATAGCCAAAAGAGTACCGGGAAGAACAGATAACCAAGTCAAGAACTACTGGAACACTCATCTCAGCAAAAAACTCGTCGGAGATTACTCCTCCGCCGTCAAAACCACCGGAGAAGACGACGACTCTCTGCCGTCTTTGTTCATTACTGCCGCCACAACTTCATCTCGTCATCATCAACAAGAAAATGTCTACGAGAATATAGCCAAGAGCTTTGACGGCGTCGTATCAGCATCGTACGAGGATAAACCAAAACAAGAACTGGCTCAAAACGATGTCCTAATGGCAACTACTAATGATCCAAGTCACTATTATGGCAATAACGCTTTATCAT